GATTGGTAGGATGGGTTTGAGAAGATGCTGCAACTGCGGAAGTGCAGCGCAAGAACATCGTCAACATCTTGGCTGGTTGTGGTGGCGGGTGGTGTTTGGAAACTCTTCACTCGGTAGTGGCGCGCAGGTCTTGATGGGTCCACGATAGTACAGGAAGTGCGTCGCGATGAGGGCTTTGAGCCATGGCCACGGCTCTTTGATCTGCTGTTTGAGTTTTCTGATGATGTGGTGGACTGTTGTCGTAATGGTCGTGAGCGCTGCTCTGATACTGGTCGTCGTGGCTCCATGTCTGCAACCTGGAGAGGAGCGATCGATTCGACTTTATTTCTGCGATGTTTGCTATGCCGGATGGTATTGTTGTTGCACAGTGGTTCTTGGCTGGGTATCTTAGGGAGATAGGAACCCGCAACACTATCAATTCGATTCATCGCCGATCTATCAAAGATCGAGAACGGGGAGTGACGTAGATGTGAGGTGTGTCAAAGGATATTGAATCGGTAATATTGTCTTAGTGGTGAATAATTTCGGTACTCGTCTAGGTCGGATATCAGTATCGGAATAGGAAGGTTCTGTGCTCAAGGGGTAAAAGCCCATACCAGCAGCCAGTGCCAACACCGAAACACACAGATTTGGATTCCTCGCGCGAACGGCACACACAAGCGGTATAAGAGAATGAAATCTGGAATCACAGGCGGGCTATGTGACGCCAGTAATTGTTGGGTCAGTCAAGTGACGAACCGCGGGACCCGCCTGGAGGACTATTGAATCAACCGCGGTCAGTAGGAGGGAAACTAGAGCCTAGTATATAAAGAAGAGATCAAAACGTCCCAAATGTCGATCTTGGCCGTTGGTTGGCCCAGACCCTGCCAGCATGCAGCGAGACGCACGGCATGCACGATCTCTTGACGAGTTTGAGCCGAGCGCGTGGGCACCTCTACGAAAAGGGTTGGGAGTTCACCGCCTTCCAGGACTCGATTTCCGGGGCCTGAATAGACTAGGCGCGTGAAAAGACTAGCGGCGCGATTAAACTGGAGAAGGATTTCGCTAGCTTCCGTGGGTTCGAGACGGAGCATGACAGATGCACTAAATATGTCACAATCAGAGTCGCACATGGGGGGCAGAGGACGAAACATTCAAGTATGATGTCGTCGGCTTTCACATGCCAGCGATGATGTGGTAGCGCGTGAGAGGCCACACACACAGCTTCGGACGCTGATCACTTCGGGTTGGCTCGTGATAAGGGAAGGAGGGCGCGAGGCCATGTCGAATAGACGCGAGTGGCAGCCTCGTCTACCGACAAGTCGATCCGGCACAACCTTGGGAGTGCAGCACGGACGGCGGGAAGGACCGAATCAAATCAAAGAACGACAGGCCAGCGACATCGGGCCAAGATGACCCACGCTCGACTCAGGCAAGCGCACGCGGAAATGTCGAGCCTGAAAAGTAAAGGATGCCAAATGAAGCGCTGCGCATGGCGTCGTGGGCATTGCTGAGAGGGGCGCCAGGGAAGATTACACCAAACCGCTGCGGCGGGTACCAGCGCAGAACCCTGAACCACTACCCTAGAATACATCCATTTCTCCCACAGCCCTTTCTTACACGAATGGGAGGCTGTAAAAGTCTTTACTCCCATATGTATGTCTTGTGGGTGCGCGGCCCGCTGCCTTACTGCTTACAGTTATCCGCTGCAAACGCTCTTTGGAGGGTGGAACCCATGCGCCAAGGCCACATCCAATGCAGATGATGCAGCTGATCGGGCCAGGGACGCCGCCAATGGCTATGTCATGCGGCAGCACAACACCACCAATTGCGTCCTACTCGCACGCGGAGATGAGTCTGCATTGCAGCTTTTTTTTCGCTAAGCTAGTCATCGCAAGGGTCGTCTGGAAGATCGGCTCGCACGTGGTATCCTCACGAACCCCTCTTCCACTCCACCACGCAGGCACAACGCGCACACTGCGAACACAATGCGAAGCATCACAGAAAGGCGGTATGACTTGGCAGGTACACTCCTCCCTTTTGACTCGCAGTAAGAGGGCCTGTGCGATGAAACGAACGCCGAGCTTCTCCACTACCCTACAGTTCCGTGAGTGCGTGCCCCGTTCCGCGGGTCGTTCGGAAATAACCTGTACGGATTGCTTATTGTATCTCGTGGTAAAACCCCTCAATCAATTTCGCGACTTCGTCAAAAGCCTCAAGACAGTGCCAATGCCCGACTCCCTCCATAACCTCCAACTTCTTCTCGCTGCTACCAATCTCTTCGAACATCTTCTTGCATCCTTCAAGCGGTGCGCTCTTGTCCTCCTCACCAGCGAGAATGAGTACGGGCACGCTGATCTTGCTGTACTGAGGCGGCTTTGCATTGATAATGACTCGACAGTTGGAAATATAACCCGCTGGATCCTGCGATAGCAATAACTCGCGGATCATCGCTTTGACCAGTGGAGACGCCTTCTTCCCGACTGCAGCATGTGGGATGCTGTCGGCCATGGGTTGCATACCGTCTTTTGCAACGGTTTCTATCCGTTCGTGAAAGCGGGGGCCTGCCTCAGGGCTGGGATATACAGGGCCGATCAGGATAGCTGCTACAATGCGGTCACTTCGCTCAGCCGCAAGGTGTGCACCGACGATGCTAGAGACGTGTCAGTTGTCGTGTTCGTTGCAGTCGCGTCTTCCAAGGCTTCTTTCTGCCCGAGAGGTCGCTGACGTACCCTCCCATGCTGTGCCCAACGAACACAGCCTTGTCGACGTTCAGCGCGTCCAGAATCCCAATCACATCTTCTCCTAGCGTCTCGATACTCTGCTCGACAAATGTGTACGTCGATCGACCGGCCCCTGTGTTGTCAAAGGTAATGCAGCGGAATCCATTCGCGACCAAGCTTTGAGTTACTGGCTGATAGTAATTCTGCGAAGAGCCCAGCCCGTGCATGAAAATGAGTGTCTCGCGTGTCTTGCCATCTTGTGGTTTCAAGTCGGTGTAGTGAAAGCGTTTGTAGCCGACGTGGAGGAAAGGCATGTTGGATGGAACGTAGCCGTGTTTGTGAGTTCGTTTCACAACAGCTTGAGATGGGTGACGGGACTGGTTCCGATCGGAAGCGGAGCCATGCGGATAGTGCTGATGACATCACTGGGGTACAGCAAGCACAAGAACACTGAACTTCGTCGCATCTGCACAAATTTACGTTTCTCTAACCCGAAAGCCATGATTTATTACCGATGCAGTATATCGAAAAATATGATAGCCATAGATTTTACGAAGTCCAACCAGATGATGTAGATGCACCTCCTCTCAACTGTCCGTCGACCCATCTGTAATAAACTTCGTCTGATACCACTCATGCATCGCCTGCTTGCACTCCTCTCTCAATCTCGCGGTCGCTGGCCCATCGTCCTTCAATAACGTCGATAGTAGTTGCGCCAACCCCTCTCTCGTAGTAACTTCCTTCAACGCGTCCAAGTCAGGATCCTCTTTCGTCGTTTCCGCGATGCTTAGCATTCTACTCGCATCGCTCTTCGCCCTCGATCTCCTCCGCCTGCCGAAAATTGAGAATACGCTTCGTGACTGGGTCTGTTGCTCCTGCCCACTGGCATCCCACAGCGCAACCCGACTAATGAAGTGCTTGATGGCCGCTTCTTCGAAGCTCTCCCTTCGTCGCTCGATCACCTTTTCGAATTCTGGATCAGCCCACTCCAGGTTCTTGGGTTCCCATCTGTGAAGAAGATACCGAAACGTGCGCACTTCAGCGTCGGGCATAGATAGGTCGCCGAAATCAGTAGTGAAGGGATCGTAGGAGATGGAGGAGGAAGATGAAGTCGGTCGTTCGCTGGAGGTACTCGTTGGTGTTGCGACGTGGCCGTATTTCCGTTCGAGAGCGTGGTGCGTCTGTATGACATTTCGAAGAGCAACTTTGCGATTTTGGAGGACAGCGTCGGTGCCTTCGAAGAGGTGTGAAGAGGATGGTTTGCTGGACAGGTGGCTTCTGCTGCGACGGAGGCCGAAGGTGTGATGTCGCTTGGATTCTAGAGATGGTCGTGTCATGGTGTCTGTGTCCATATTCAACCCAGTTGTCTTTTCGCGGAGTAGTCAAGATAATGATTAGTCTAAATAGAACAATAGAGGTGAGATCAAGCGTATCGTTGTGAATATTCAGTTCCTAGAGCATACGTATGGTGAAAGAAGTGAAACCCATGAAAGAGGAAAACCAAAAACCAGGAAGAAAGGCCACAGACTCAACCCTCTGCCAACAAACTCAACCGTGGATGCCGGCTAACCCAGACGCCCACGCCCACGCCCAATTGACGCACATCCCGTTAGCCGAGAAGGGGGAAGGGGGTGACGCAAGCCCTTTTCTGACATGCAGATCTGCGAGGGCAGACTCATCCTCACCACCGGTGTTGTATAAGGTGTAAAAGTTGTGTCGCGGAACGCTGACTCTAGTGACGACCTATTGGCAGCGACTGTGCCACCGCTTTGTTGAGCCACTTCATGAGCCACTTCGTGGTTCAGTCACTGCGCCGCAGGGTGCGCGGCATTTTTCGGCGTTAATTAAAGTGGGGACGGCGACACGCTGGCTAGGGAGCTGACGCCAAGTCGTGCTTTGGCCGATGATCCGGCGAGCACAGTGATGCCGTGAGGTTGCTCGTGCTGCGAGCTTACGCGTCGAAATGTCTGTTCTGAGAGTGTGCGTGCTGGGCCGTCATTGCATCGTATTGTAACCCCGCACGGTGAAGCTTTGACAGGAAGAAGATTGAGTCAACACGATGAACCGATCGAACGGGTATATATTCAAATTCGCACTGCAGCAATATTCAATCATCAAGCGCTGCCGGCGAGAATGCTACGATGTACCTGGAACACGAAGGAAGTCCTCTATGGTTTCCTACAGTGAGCATAACGCCATGCGATGCAAGAACGATCGGCCTATAACAACGCGAACGGGAACTCGAAAAGCCGCAAAACATCCACCAGTCAATCCTTAAATTGGCCAAGAAAATGCGGTTTACTCGGAAGGCGGCACTGGCTCCGTCTTGCCGTTGGGTAATATGTGTTGGGTGGTGCTCATACGAACGCTGGACGGCCTTTCCAGCTTCTTCCCGTCTTCTGCAGCATTTCCATTCTGCACGTCTTTCTCGAGATCCTTGTGTCCACTCGTGACATCAGGCAGCGCTTCAGCTTCGTTCAATGCTTGTTTGACCAACTTCTTCGCCTCGATCGCAAGATTGGGGATTTCCTCCACCTCCTTGTTCTTGTTCAGGTATGAGTCCAGTAGCGCTTTGAGCGTCTGCGCGCGAACCGGTTTCGCGAGGTAATTGTTCATGCCTACTAGGTTAGCGTATGTTTCAAACGTGGATTCAGCTGCCAGAACTTACCGGATTCCAGGCACTTCTCGCGGTCTCCTTGGATAGCGGAAGCAGTCATGGCAATGATAAGTACGTTTCGAATCTCGGGATTGGGATGCTTGCGGATCAGTTTCGTAGCTATACATGGTCAGTATTCATGTGCTAGCCAAGGCGCGAGTAGCAATCCTTACCTTCGTAGCCATCACAATGCGGCATTTGCACATCCATGAGAATAAGATGGAAGGGGCGCCCATTCTCCGAAGCACGCTCAAGAGCGTCGATAGTCTTGTATCCGTCGAGATAAGCGTCGCATTTGAACCCAAGCTTTTGCACGAAGCTGATTGCGATGCGCTGATTGATCAAGTTGTCTTCCGCGATGCAGACCCGTAGTTCTCGTCTGGGTATCGTAGAAAGATCGATGCAGGAACCCGACAGTTGCTCATGGCCGTTATTTTCCTGGCTTGAGAACCTAGCCATAGGGTCTGGCTCTCGTGTCCTTTGCTGCTGACTGCCTGCTTGCGCTTTCGGCACTTTCTTGAATCGCAACGAAAATGTGACTGTAGTACCTTGGCCTGGTTGGCTGTCGAGACGTACTGTACCGTGCATAACGTTCTCTATGAGGGCTTTGCAGATACTCAGACCAAGGCCAGTGCCGCCGTAGCTCCTAGCAGAGCTGGACTCTATCTGCGAGAAAGGAAGGAACAATTTCTGCTTCTGTTCGTCTGGAATACCAATGCCAGTATCTATAACGCTGCATGTCACATCTGCCCAGTCGTCTGTCTCTTGGTCAACAACAGCGCGGACAGTGACAGATCCTCGTGGCGTGAACTTGTAGCTGTTGGACAGCAAGTTCATGAGAATCTGATGCAGTCGAACAGGGTCGCCCATGACGAGCATCTCTGGATCCAGATGCAATTGCTCAATGGTTTTGAGGCCTCTTTCAGCGTTCGTGTAGGCCAAAGCGCGGACTACTTCCGCAATTGTTTCGCTCAATGAAATGGGCATCTCCAAGACATTCATCTTGCCAGCCTCGAGCTTGGAGTAATCCAGAAGGTCGTTAATGATCGAGAGCAGCGTATCGGCGCAGACACGAATTGAATCGGCGTATCCAGTTTGTTCCGAGTTTAGCGGTGAAGCCTTCAACAGCTCAGACATACCGATCACGCCGTTCAAGGGAGTACGCAACTCGTGCGACACGTTGGCCAGGAACAAACTCTTTGCCTTCGCGGCTTCTTCTTTCAGCTTCATGTTACGCACAGCTATGGCTTCAGCCTCTTTCGCCTTGATCTCTGCTGCCCGCGCCTGTGACAAAGCGCGTTTCTGCATTTCAAGCATGGCTTCGTTGCTTGCGGATACTCTTTCCACCTCTTTGAAAAGCAGTGCATTAGCTAAGGAGATGGAAATTTGATTCACCAGTAACCGAAGAACCTGGGTGTTGCGTTCGGTAAACGAATTCGGCGGGCCCTCGACGTATATTGAACCAAGAAGGTGATCGCTGTGCAGAATCGGGATGCAGATGACTGCTTTCCCCTCGGGATTCCGTTGAAGGTAGGCATCAGAAACGTTGGAGAAGCGGTCGTCTTCTAGTAGGTTCTGGACGAAGACTATCTCTCGGAAGCGGAGTGTGTAGAGCGTCACTTGCCGCGCAACAACATCGTCCACAGTATCTAAAGGTTGACTGGCAGGGAAGGATGTGACGCCGGAAGAGACACCACTGTCGTTGTCAGGCTCGTTGGTGGCAACGCATGCGATCGACCATTCGATTTGTGAGTCTTCAATCACTATGCCGCACAAAGTACCGCCCGTAGATTCGAGCAAAATGGTACTCATCTTCGCCATCAATTTATCGACGACGAGCTCGCTAGACAAGACTTGACTCGACTCCAAGATTGAGGATAGGTCTAGCATGTCCAGACCGACAGCCGAGAGACCGTTGTGTAGAGCTGGAGCAGACTCTTGGCGCCGTGTTTCCGGGACAATCCAGTTCTGTGTTCGATCGACTGCAGTCTCCGCGCCCAGAAATTGATCATGATCATTTTGCTCCAGTCTGAAGGCCGTGTTACCCGTATCTACGAGGGAGGTTTGTACAGCTTGGTCCACTGTCGTGAGCGAGGCGCCGCTACGCACTAGCCACTCATACCGACTCGCGAAGTGATTTGCTTTTCCGTATGCTGACATCCTCCGATATACCGAGATGCAGTCTTTCAAAGAATGTCGGGCCGCCCGGTAGGCCTTCTTGTCTACCAACCATCCAGTGTAGAGCTCGAGAGCAAACGCTTCGTCCAATGCAAACTCGTAACGTTCGCTATGCTCCATGGCTGCCTCATAATTCTCCAGCGCGGATTGCGGATCGGCATTAACATCCCCGAGGACGGCAGTGAGAAGATGTATCCAGCCTCGGTAGTTGACATCAGTGGTGGTGCAACATGTCTCGAGCAATTTGAGGGTCTCATGAACATGTTTTACCATCTCGTCTCTCCGGCTATGAGCGGGCTTCTCTCGGAGAACAGCCATGTATGCTAACGATAAGTAGTATCGGACCGAGTAATTGAGTCGTTCTGACCAGAGACTGCTAAGCATCGGAAGTAGCATCTCCCCAAGAGCCACTGCATCTGAATGATGACCGTAGAGTACCAACAACGGAAGTTTGGTTGCAAGATATATAGACTTGGGACGTTTGGGATTGCTGGCCGTATTTTCGAGGAACTCAATGTACCCGACCTCATTGTGATCGTCATCCGAGAGGAGGGAAAGAGCGTTGCTTGAGTCAGTCTTTCCCTGGAGCGCTCTTGCATATTGACGAGCAGCCATGAGAAAAACTCCTCCACGCATGTCTTTCTGCCAGTTTCGCATATCGAGCGGTGTTTCTTCAATCCAGGCTTCCAATTCTGCGACGTCGTATGAAGCCATGACCCTAAAGTGAGCCTGTACACCAAGATTTAGAAGTGTGAGGATGCGATCGCCAGCAGTTAGTGAAGCCTGCAAGGCTGCTTCTAAGCTCGGTATCAGATCGCCTACAGGCGCTTCCAAGTGACCCAGAAACATTGGCTGCAAAGTTTGACCTCGTCCCAGGGTGTAGTAGTCTTCAGGGAACTGCAGAGGTAGAGGTATGAAGTCAGCATATATCTCACGTGCACTTCGTATAGCCAGAACTTACCATCTGAAAGATTCGCTTTGCAATCGCGCCCATGTCGACTGCGAAATTCGTCATTCCAAAACGACCGCCCGCAACAGTGCCCAGATGCACGTATGCAAGGGCAACCTGTGACATGGTACCCTTTTCGAGATGGACGGTGATAAGTTTCAGCGTCGCCTGATAGAAAAGCAGGCTGTTCGACCAGAACGCCGCACTAAGGAGTTCGATGAAGACAGGCCCAATAGTCATCAGGACACGGTCATCAGGAGACGGACGCCGCTTGAGCAGTTCTTCCTTATCGATGTTCTGAAGCGTGCCGTATATCTGCTGAAACTGAGCATCGCACGCCTCCCATGTTGTCGGAGGAATAGGGGAATTGAGCAAAGACAAACAGTCTTTGAGAGCCTGGAATGCACTATAGATGGTGATGTCGTTAGCTAACTGTCGCGATAGTTGCAGTGATGAAAAGCGAGAGGTACACATGTCATGCTATCTTGCAAGCGTGCAACCTGCTCCAGGCGCATGCACGGAAAGGATGTGGAACATTACTTACCCGAAACTGTCGCCGCGAATAGCAAACACCCTAGACTGTAGAATGAATGAACTAGCCATATCGCAGGGATCGCGAGCATGCTGGAAGGTCGTCCGGATCAGGCTAAGAGCCTCATCGAACATGCCCTGGTGCCAATAGCATTCTGCCGAGCGCACAAAGAGTTGCAACGTCTCTTGGTAGGATACGTCTGGCATATTGTCGTTCCATGGATCGTCTTGCAGAAGCATGAGGCTGTGCGCGAAGTAGTAGATGCCAGTTGATCGCGCGCCCGACTCGCATGCAGTTTCTCCAGCTTGATACAGCATATCACGGAATGGAGCTCGCACTGTTTCCTTGGTCTTGATCAGTTCTGCAGCGAGACAGATGTGGCGACTCTGCATGTACAACGCCTTGGAACCTGACGTCGAGTCGTCGTTGTACTCCTCGCCGGAAGTTATCATCTTGGCAATGGTGAAGTGCATCAACTGTGTATCCCATTCCTTGTCGAGGGAGTTCACAGCCGCTGTAAGGTACCGATCGTGACTGAATCTGAATCGAGCATCTTGTTCGGCAGGCATGAGTACGTAGGCTTTCAATGCTGCATCGAGAGCTGTGACGGCACTCTCGTCTCTCTCGAAAAGTGGTAACCTCCCATGAGCTGCGGGCTTGTTTGTGGGCTGAAGGAGCTTCTTCAGAAGTTCGAACGAGAAAGTACCACCCAGGAGGGATGCCCACGCCAAGAGCTTCCTACTGGAAGATGGTAATTCTGTCAACCGCTTTGCTATAAAGTCAGTCGTAACAGATGACCCATACTCTGGACTCTCGAAAACGGCGAAGACTTTGTCTAGGTCGAAAACCCAAGTGTTCTCCCGCCACTCGTAGTACACGCAGCGTTTCCGATAGCAAGTGTCTAGTATCTCGCGTATATAGAAGAGGTTACCTCGAGACTTTTCCTGAATTACCGCTACTAGAGGAAGGATATACTGATGGTCCCGGTGGAGCGTCTCAGCCACGTAGTCGGCCGTCTGGGCCTCTACAAAAGGAAGAAGCTGTACTCTGGTAGCGTGACGCAGTAGTGGGGTGAGTTCTCGGGGTAGGGTCTCTTCGTCGCTGTACGTGAGCATAAGAACAAGCGGAATTTTGGCTTGCACGATGTGATGAATCAGCTCAGCGCTTTCGGGATCGGCATACTGAACATCTTCCAAACTCCATGTGCAGAGCTTGTGCATTGCCAGGAGTCGTAGAACATCTATGAAGACATTCATGAATCTGGAAGATTTCGAAGCACCTCCGCTTCGTAGCCAAGCCTCGGCAGTATGTCCAGCTGATCCGCAGTGAACGGCAGGAGATGATGCCCGTCGAGTCAGATCCTTAGTAGGCTCCATGTCCTTCTGTTGCGGACTCTTTCCGTTCGTGTTTAAGAGCCATTCCGGTAGATCAAGGTAGGTTCGTAACACCGCCCAAACTCCACTGTTCCTGAGGTAATGGCGCAATCTCTGGTGAAATTCCGTCGTTACGTCCGCCTCGCTGACTAGACAGAGAGATGTAAGTTAGTAGCTGGTATAGGGGAACATGATTGTCCAAGATGACTGTACATACTGGCTAACGTTAGTACAATTGCGAGAATTGAGAGTAGTCCTCAGAGAGACTTACCATATTTGGCGGAAGAAAGAAGACATCAGCCGAAGAATGGGGTCAAATGGTGCTTTCTTGGCGGGATCAAATTTAGCCATAGCGAAGTAGCCAGTGCTCCTTGCTGTGCTCTGTACGCTCTGCACGAGACGAGATTTACCCAGCCCGGTGGCACCGGCGATGGCTATCACCTCACATCGCGCCTTGCGCCTTAGTTTTCGCGTGCTGGCTAGAGTTCTTAGGCCATCGTTGGATTGGTGGCTGCGAGAGTAGAGTCCGGTGCTTTCAATGCTGTTGTTGGAACGGCCTCGGCTCGCGGATTGCAGTTGGGGCCGACTGTCCACACTTCCTTCAGCCGTTGATGATTCTGATTGTGCGACACTATCTTGGGAGCCCTGTTGCATCGACCGAGCGCTTTCCATGAATACAGGGCCATCTGCCGAAACGCTGTTGAGCCTGCTGTCGGAGCCTCTGGAGCTAGTGCTTTCGGAAATGATGTCGTCAAATTGCAGGTCTCCTCGTCGATCCGAAAAGGAGGAACCTGAGCTCAGGCTCTGCAACGCTTTGACGTTACTCCGACGATGCCTCGCTACGCGCTCGATCACGTCCACTATGGTCTTGCGTTCTTTCTCACGCCCGATTAGTTTGAGGGGCAAGTTGAAGAAGCAACTGATGTCCTTGGTGCCTACATGGAAGGCCTTCAATCCTTCTACATCTCCATCGTAAAGAAGCTCGCGGATACGAAAGAGATCGAATTTCAAGCCTGAAGTAGAGTGGTATCTCTCCTCAATATTGCGCTGCGTCATACGTTGGATGATCTCTGACAGAGCCTCTGGGATGTCTAGTCGTCTGGAAGAAATTGGAGGAATTCGCTTGCTGATGACGTTCTGCATGACATCGAGAGCCGTAGCGCCTTCGAATGGCGTCTGCCCGCAGAGCATCGTGTAGAAGAGAATGCCAAGACTGTAGATGTCGGTTCTTGTGTCGGGTTCAGCGGGCATTCTACCAGTCTGTTCAGGGGATATAAAAGCCAACTTCAATTCGATGCCAGTCTCTTTTGACAGGGTACTCCAACCAGCGCTTGTCAGTCCGTTCTCGAAAGATCGTGCGCCCGATCCAAAATTGATCATTTTGACCGTCCCGTTCTCAGCGAAATGGAAGGCATCGCCCCGAATTTCTCCATGGACAATTTCGTGACCGTGGTGCAATATTTCCAGACACTCGACTGATCCGACGGCAAAGTCGAGGAAGGTGAGGAGAGGTATTCCACGGTTGGGCAATGAAGCATCTGATTGCCCGCTCTGTCCATGACTGCCAACCTTCCAGAAATTAGGGCCGAAGTTGACCAAGTCGTTGAGGTAGTTAGGCCCCGGGGCTTCGAATATGCTGGCGACAAGATGCTCCTCGCCGGCTTTGGTCGATAGCCTCACAAACTCTATGGGCCGAACAAAGTGCTTGCACTCTGGATCCGACTCCTTGACGACGAGTTTGGCGAGCTGGAACTCGCGTTCGAGCCGCAGAGTCTGCTGCGAGACACGGCATACGACGGTCCGGCCTTCTCTCGCCACACCTTTGGCGGTGGTGTTGGTGCGATGTGTTTGTACGGTAGAGGCGCTTGCATCGGAGCCCGAACTGCGGTGAGTGCGTGTTATGGTTGGGCGGCTTCGGGTCAGGGAGTCAGGCGAATGCGACAGCTTGAATGAGGTGGGGGAGGTTACGGCGCTCCTTCCTCTTGACTGAGGGCGATCCTGCCGGGGCGCTTGCTTCTCGTAACCGAAGAAATGCCAGTTATCATACGACTATTCGACGTTAGCATGGTGCAGCGACAACCTGGGCTATGCGACGCCTCTTACTGAGTGGAAGGGCTCAATGTCCGTGTCCCAGCCATAGTTCTGCAGCTCCTGCAGACGCGCAAAGATGTGCGAGAAGTGCTGCGTGCGCCCGCCTCCTTCCGATCGAGTCATTGTGTCTTTCCGATGTTCGCAACCGCCGGGGATCTAAGACATGCTCTGAGTGGGATGTATAGAATCAATGTGTAGGGTAAAGTCGCCAGGCGCTCGATCTATCCATCACAGCATCAGCGGGGCGCGACTGCCATATCAAGAGCGCGGTCGTCGAGGGTGTTGAGAGCGACGGGAGGGGCGTAAAGGAGAGTCCGGTAGGCTGTTGATGCCAGTGTTCTAGAGGGAGCAGACGCGCATGTGGAGTGCTTACTGATGGCATTCCAGCCACAGCAGACGGACTGCGAAGATGCGCGCTCAGACTTCGCGCTTGTTCTTAGACGTCATAATCGACATGGGCTCGCTGTAGCGGAAGTTTGCGCCCAACGCACCGCACGCAAAAGTAACGTTTCCCTGCCCAGCCCAACGCGCCCTGAAACCAAAACCAAGCACGCATCCGCAGCGAATATCAACGTGGACCATGTGTGGCTGGCATGCGGAGCGTCCCCCGCGCAAGTTGGGACGGCTGTATCTGGCATAGCGGAAGATCGGCCTGGCGCGTTAGCCCTCGGGCTGGAGCCGTTGGTAGCGACATCATCGTGGTTCAGGGCCAGTAGTGCCGTCTGCATCATCTGCATACCGACGCTGCATTATTACCACAACCGCCGGGCGGGTCAGCAATACGCCCAGTCGCAATTTCCCACTGCGACCGACTTTCGCCCCCATAGCACCCTCTGCCTGCCCGCCACTGTTAGACTGACGCTGCCCCACCACAGGCGACCGGGCATCCCTCGACATTTGACACATGCATCTTCCGCAGAGGTAGCCGCTGTCATAGCAAACAACATCCTTCCACATCCACCCTATTCAATGTCACACAATGGACTCGCCCGACCACGAGCATGCCTATTCAGGCGACCTTGGGGAACCTATGAGGCCACGACAACTCCCCTCGGACCTGCCCACTTCCCTCAATGACAGGCGACCTGTCACCATCATGAATGAGGAAACCGAGATCTACGACGCCTGGCAGGGTAAGTGTCGGATCGGGAAGGCGCAATGAACCACGAGCAACTGACGTCGCCTAGGGCAGTCGCAATTTCTCACCACCCCCATGCCCGCCCGCCCGCTCAGTTTCAACCTCTCGCTCGACGACCCGACCTTTGGCGACGAAGACATGCAGCAGCTCGAGGACAGCGATAGTCGCCTAGTGCAGATGCTGGCCCACCAAGCGCGCCTCAAGAACGACAATGCAGGCGACGAGGCCAAGGTTGTCGCCGACGACAAGTTGTCACACGAGGAAAAGAAAGAGGCTTTACAGGGGCTTTTTACGCTGGCCGCATCGAATGGCGAGCTGGAAAGAGTAAAGCGGCTGCTGGATGGGAAGACGCGGGAATACATCAACATCAACGGCGTCGACGCCGAAGGCACGCCGCCACTAGTCTACGCAAGCTGTTTTGGGCACGAGGACGTGGCAGCTACACTTCTCGAGCAGGGCGCAACTGTTGATATGCAAGACAAGAATCGCTGGACGCCGCTCATGTGGGCCATGACAAACCGGCACAAGGCCATCGTCAAACTTCTGCTCGACCACGGCGCATCGACGGATGTCAAGTCTTCTGGAGGAAGGACCGCGTTCGATTTCGTCGAGCCCAACACCGAGCTGTCCGACTATCTACACGAGAGCGGATACGCGATTGGCAACGTCGGTGTTGGCGACGACTTCTACAGCTCTGGATTCTCTCAGGACCGCTTTGAGCAAGAAATGCAGGAGAACGATTTGAAACGGCGCATGATGATGGAGAGTGCTTTCAATCTCGAGGTTGATATCGGCAACCTTGGCTTGGACGAACAGCCCGAGTCACCTGAAGAGCCAGAAGAAGAAGCGCAGGAATTCATCTGGGACAGATGTCTCAACGACCAGATGTTTGTCTTCCAAGAAAGCGAGCTGGAACGTATACTGGACATTATCATCACAAACATGACGCCGCAGCGCTCTCCGTCGCAAAAGCCAGTTCCCGCAAACATACTCTTCCTGAGTGCCCGCTACGCACACTATCATGCGAACCCGGAACTTCTCGAGACCCTGCTAGTATCTGCCATGAACAAGATAAACGACGTTGTAGAAAAGCACCAGTGGGATATGACTGTGCTGGCCTTCTGGATGTCCAATGCGACACTGCTTTTACATTACCTCAAGAAAGACGGCGGGCTCACGAGCGCGACTACTGAGTTTCAACTGCAGATGGCAGAACTTATCAATGAGATTTTCATCTTGATCATCCGTGACGCTGAGCGAAGGATGGACAAGAACTTGGACCAGGCAATGCTCGACCATGAGCCCATGCCTGGTTTCGAAGACGTACAGTTCCAACACGAATGGAAAATATTCCGTTCCAAACCCAAGGCAAAGCCATTAGAACCCCTCGAGAAACGCTTCCGCCCGCCATCTCCAAAGCGTAGAGCACAGCCATCACCGCGAAACATCACTTCTCTCCTATCATCCACCCTGTTCGTCCTTGATCTGTACGATGTGCACTCTGTCATTGCTGCGCAGGTGCTATCGCAGCTCATTTACTGGCTTTCCGCCGAAGTCTTCAACCGCATAATGTCGAACCGGAAGTATCTTGCACGTACAAAAGCTATGCAAATACGCATGAACGTCTCGACGCTCGAAGACTGGGCTCGTTCCAACAACCGGCAACCCGAACATTACGAGAACGGCTCCATGACTTCTACCGGCGAGAACACCGCGGACGCTGCTAAACGGCATCTCGAGCCTCTGGTGCAACTTCTGCAATGGCTTCAATGCTTCTCTTCACTCGGGGAAGACCTAGAGTCGCTCGTGGGTACTCTGCAACAGCTGACACGTCTGTCGCCCCAACAGCTACTACACACCGCGAAATATTACCGGCCCGAAGTGGGCGAGAAAGGCCTGCCGAAAAGCGCTTCCAAGTACATTGTACATCTGCAAAAAGCTGCCGCTGATCGTAAAGCCGCACGCACAAAGTCGCCCAATCCGCCGCCAGCATCGGAATCCGTACCAACCACGCCTGTCAGGCCTACTTCCGATAAACCTGTCGAACCATCGCCTGCGCCTTCGCGCATGTCGGAGGAAGACGAGAAGGATGAGCCACCGGACGAGCTTCTCTTAGACCCGTCGTACATGCTGCCATTTTCACTTCCAACGTCAACGGACATGCTCATCACCTACGGTGCCGGATTCGGAGGTGTTAACAAAGAACGAGAGCGGAAATACATTCCCACCGTACCCCCCGAGTTTATGGCCAAGTTGGACTTGAATGGAGGCAACAATAAGAATGGAAGCTCCTACTATTCAGAGACGCAGTGGAACGATCCGAGCTATGGGTGAAGATGAAGATCGGCAGTATTGAGAACCCTGCTAATTGAGACCTTGATAGTCGCGTCCACACTGCTTGGTTGAGACGAAGACCGGATTCTTTCAAGTTCCGTTCTACAACATCTCGTTGCTGCTGACCGTCGCGTTCTTTTTTGCATTGCCGCATATGATTTGGATACACACATGGCACCTGGTCCGACGTACGGCCCAAAGAGGAATACTCCATCAATTACCCTACGGCATGCAAACCAGATCTGAGGATGCAGACATACTGTTTCGGCTGCAACTGCAAGAACGATGCTGATTCCGTTGCGGGGTGAAGGGTGCAACAGCACAGAAGTTGGATATTACCATAGTATCAGGGTATGCATAGATCTGTTTACCATTACTTCGATCTTTCGCGTCAACTACGGACACATCAATTTTTCCCTATCGTGCGGCCCGCCGGGCAAACAGCGCGTTTACTGTAGCATCGGCCCATCTCACAGCGAGAGGAGTCAAACACTGTACAAGCAATACATTGAATGACTGTCGATAATGAGAGTCTTATGTAAGGCAGCTATCTAGTTATCGGTATCACTCCGTGATCGGCCCGTCAATATCCATCGAGTCGCCGGAGGTATCGGCGGATTCCGATAGCAGCAGCAGTGTTGGCACGCAGGGTCTGGCTACCCCACCACTCCACCACCCCGCCATAACTTCTTGGTAGCCAGCCAAATCCCAAAACATACTTCCTACTTATCTATCTCTTCGGCGTACTCACCTATATTCTTATTCTTCTTGCATATCATACTTTCAAAATGGAGTTTCGCACCATTTCACCAGAAGATGTCAAAAGCGTAGCCACAAACACTGCGCAATCGATACCAATTGATGAAATTGATAGTACTTTCAAGTCCCAATACACTGGTGAGAAGTCCATAACCCTCGCATTCCGACAGAAGATCTAACAAGCATCAAGATCTTATATCTGCACCACTTGGTTCCAAAGTCCTCTCTTTCAGTGATGAATACTTCGCTGCAGCCGAGAATCTCATAACGCCGACTCCAGCAGTCCGTAAACCTGGTGTCTTCGTACATACGGGAGCTTGGTATGACGGTTGGGAAACCCGACGTCACAATACCGAACCTGCCGACTGGGTGGTACTGCGACTGGGTACCGCCAGCGGAAAAGTAGCAGGTGTAGAAATTGACACGGCACACTTCAACGGAAACCATGCACCAGAAATTGCCGTCGAGGGTGCTTTTATCACGGACGAGAAAGAGGAAGAAGAGGTGAAGAAGCCAAGCTACCAGGGTTGGGAGACAATTCTGTCAAAGCAGGAGTGTGGACCTAGCCAACGGCACGGATGGAAGCTGGCAAACATCACTGAAAAGGCGTACACCCACGTCCGACTCCTCATGTACCCCGACGGTGGCATTGCGCGTTTCCGCCTCTACGGTGTCGCCGTGCCCGTGTTCCCCCAATCCGCAGATGCCATCTTCGAGCTCTCAGCAACAGTCATGGGAGGCGTCGCAACATCATGCTCAGACCAACATTTCGGCACAAAAGACAATCTCCTCCTCCCCGGTCGCGGAAAAGACATGGGCGACGGCTGGGAAACGAAGCGCACGCGTGGCGAACACGTCGACTGGACGATTGTCAGGCTGGGCGCAAAGGGCGAAATCGATCACGTTGTTGTAGACACGGCGCACTTTAGGGGTAACTTCCCGCAAAAGGTGCAGGTCTTTGCTGGAAGCTTTGAGAAGGATCCGGCTCATGATGATGCGTCGTGGGTTGAGGTTCTGGAGCCGCAAAAGACGGGTCCGGATAAGGAGCATGAGTATAAGGCTGAGCTTAAGGAGGTGGCTGGCAGGGGCTACACGCATGCGAAGTTGGTGATTATCCCGGATGGAGGTGTGAAGCGGTTCCGAGTTTTCGGAAAGAGGGTGTAAGGGTCCAGATTTTAGGACTGTGGCTAGATGAATCAAGATCAAACAAACTCATTGAAGCTATCCGAGAGCGTTTTCTGTATAGTTGACACGGTAAAGCCGGCATTGACTTGAACTGCGAACATCTAGGTACCGCGGTCCTTCTCAGCCTTGAGTACTCAACAATGTGTTTCCCAATGCAAGTTGCTTACGACATTCGTAGGATACTGACGCCACTGCGTGCCGTTGAAGGTTCGATGATGACCAATGGCCGAGGTTACTTAAGTAGGTTTGACATGTCTTGGCGCCTTGGTAAGGCGTACACGTGGGTCAGACGCATCTCCAACCGCAACCACATCAACGTCCAAGACCACCGTCGCTTCCATTTCTCGATATTTGCGAATTGGTTGCCCAGTATGGAGGAAAACTACGCTTTCAATATGGAGAAGGTGTCGCCGATATGGATCATCACGGCACTTTGTGTAGTGCCTTTCGGCATGTATCAACTTCTCAATCTTCTTAGCCCGTTGATGCAGCGATTGACGGCTATGAAGATCTCAGCGGTATGTCGGATGGTTATGAGATGGTTGAGATCGTGTGCTGATGACAGCACGGTTAGATATACATCTACCCCATCAAGTCGCTGCGAGCCGTCAAGGTTACCGAAGCCGTTGCCACCGCTCATGGTTTCAAGCACGACCGTACACACATCACATCCTTAGTCCATCGAAACATGGTTAACATCACCCAGGCTCCTTCATGCTTCTCCAGAAGACCGAAGAAGGCTACAAGAACATGGCGGTAGCCAAATACCCCGAAATGACGCAATTCCTCCAAGAGATGTCCAGCGACACCATCACTGTCAAACACATCGCCTACGGCGACTCATCAAAGGCAACATCAATTCAAGTCCCACTAGAACCCGACACAGATAAGCTATCCCCCATCAACATCGACATGCACTCCAGCCCCACGTCCGCCTTCCTAATGCCCCAAAAGTACAACGACTGGTTCACATCCTGTTTCGGCTACCCAGTCATCTTCGTCTACTTAGGAGCCAACCGACGCACCGTCCAATTCCAAGACATGCAACCCGCGGAACCCTCGCCACTAACCCGTTTTCTCTCCAAATACGTCCCGTTCACTGCTTCCTACGTCGAGAAAGCAATGGGTCTGCACAAGCCCTCAGCAGAAGAATCCTGGAAAATCACTTTCGCGGACTGCGCTCCGTATCTGTTCTGCTCGCAAACGAGTCTCGATGATGTTTCGTCCCGGCTACCAGAAGGTATGGCCATGGATATCGAAAAGTTCCGTCCTAATATCGTGGTGGAGGGCGCGTATGAACCGTACGAAGAAGATTACTGGGGTAAAGTTACAGTAAAAGGCGGGACGGAGATCTTGCTTCCACACAACTGTGTAAGGTGCAAGAGTATCAATATTGACTACAAGACGGGGAAACCGGGGGAGGGCCCGAGTGGAGAGGTGCTGAAAAGGTTGCAGAAGGATCGCAGGATTGATGTAGGAGCGAAGTGGAGTCCGGTGTTTGGAAGGTACGGGTTTTGGGGGAAGGGCAGGGAGGAGGTGTGGAGGGTGGGGGATCGGGTTAATGTTGCGAAGGTCAATGGTGGGCCGACGGTTTGGAGTAAGTTTATGGATGAGAGATTCGATACAAGGATGTGGAAACTGACTGTGCACAGGTTGGCCTGGTGTCGGATAGAATTGGTACACTCTGCTCATAGCGAGTGTACTAACGAAGCATTACGTTAACGATACGTTGGCTTTACTGATGACAAAGCCCTGATACCGAAAAAAGAGTTCAAGCGCATATCCTTCCTACATTTTCGTGTGGTTCCGCACGCCTGCAACTCCGCCCCATGCAATTTTCCTAGCCTCTCGCTTCTTCTCCTCATCCCTTTCAGCCTTGTCCCATCTTCGTGCTCTATCATTCATATCCACCGCTGCAAGATCGAGCTCGTTACTACCATACATCCAAGGGTGGAAGAATTCATTAGTATTCCAGAGATAAAGGACAGGAATATACTGGTAGACTACCGGACACTGTTAGAAAAACGCCGACCGCCAAATCATGATCGAGAGGAAAACTTACACAATATACCCATCTCCTTCATAAGCTCGCGCGACGCCATTCTAGCGGCATTTCCGGGGCAGCAGTGATACAAGCTCACTGTCGCTAGATTGGGAAATAGCGTTGGCTTTGCCCTGGCTACATGTTTCACCCACCTTTCTGCCTCCCTACCGAGACAGTCGGTTAAGATAAGCCGTTCGAGCTTGGACGGCACGACTTCTTTGTAGTACGCATATACAACATTGTCACTCGGCAGCACAAGCGTGCGCAACGCGGGGAAGTACTTCGGGATACCATGCACGGAGCCTCGATAGTCCGACCTGCTGGAAGGCGATGTGCGGAAGTCGTTGGGTAATTCGAGTACGGTGAGTTTGTGGCTGAAGAGAGGGAGGAGAGGGCCTAGATCGGGGGTGTGGGCTGGAAAGAGGCTGCTATGGTAGAGCAGGGGATGGAGAAAGGGGAAGTTGTACAGTATCGAGCCCCCGAGATACAGTTCCTGTAGATTGGGTAGCATGGTCAGCACAAGGCTGAGGAGGATGCTTGGTCCATCGTATTCGTTTCCGGCATGCAGGGATTCGATGAAGTCTTGTTTCGTCAGAGGATCGATGTCTAATGTGCTGATATGGCTGATGGCTTTTGATAGTAGCGAAGGATCGAGTGCTGGGATAGGGTTCGGTCCTATGCACATTCCACGGATTTGCGTTTCGATGGTCAGGCTGCGGATCTTGTATCGCAGGTCTGGGTACTGGAAGAGTGAAGCGAGAAATCGGTCGACCTTGCTTGAGTATAGTATTGGTGCGCAGAAGAGAACCTCTCGGGCAAGTGGTGCTAGTTGCTTGCATGTCGAGAGCGCATTCAGTAAGTCGGCTTGGGGATTGGGATGCTTGACACTTTTGGGAAGGTAGTGCAGAATTTGGAGAAGGACCTCGTCTGGGAGCTCAAGGAGTTGGCTTGCCATGCTGGAAGAGAATGTTGGTTGAGAACGCGTACCGAACAAGAGTTCACAGCCGTTATGGAGGGTGAAAGAGCAGAGGGACGATACTGTTTTTCTCGGTGCGATGTGAGTGATCGAAATCGTTTATACACAAGTGCTATAACGCTGTAAAGTAGCGAACGTTGAGAACCACGGTTGAGATGCATTGAAACCAAGGTTTACAATGGACGAGTGATGAAAAACTCAGGTTATTGCATAGTGAATAGGCTCTCTAAATTCATCAGGGCTATGGCGAGGGGCGGTTTTTGGAAAGACTAACCTTCGTAGGCATTTATGCTACCGGGTGCGGCTAGGACTCGTGTAGCATACGTCCCATCAAATTGCCAATAAATACATAATGACAAAAGTAATGTATACTTCTACTTCGAGGAGTTCCTTCACATGGTGCGACATAACTGGTAGCTACCCCTAGTAGTGCTATCAATTGCATTGAGAAGCTATCAGCTTTCACTCAGGCATCAAGCTTTCGACAGACAACACCACAACTTGTAATAACATCTTTCATTACGTTCTCTTCCCACTATCAACAACATATGATATGATGATTTAGACTTGACAATAGTAATAACGCAAACAAATTGCCTGTTCCCGACCTTTGACAAACGCCATGCTCTTGCGCGCATGTCCTTCTAATGTGATGATGAATATCCCAACCCAGAAAACGAAGAGGCCATGAACAGCCATCTTCGACTGAAAGTGCGTACCAATGTTTGTTCTGCCTATATGATTTATAAGGACTCCTTTTGTTCGAACGCCGTGGCAATGTGGTAGCGATAAGGATAGAGACGCGGTCGTGAAACGGAAGCCGTAACTGTATGTACAGATGTTCGGAGAGGGCATGTTCACCATGTTTCCTTCGTATTCGTTAGTATGTGTAAGGTAGGCATGGTTTGGAAAGTGTACTTACGGCGATGTATTGTCCGTCCTCCTTCTTCCTGGCCCAGAACTCCTTCGCTTGCGCTTCGCTCAGGCGGCCCTTTTGCATCGCAACATCAATTAGGGACTCTTCAACACCTTCGCCCATGCCCTTACTAGAGCCACAGACAAAGATACGGCCGTCGAGAGCATTGATGACGAACCAGACGATGTCAGCCTGTACTCGCACCTCGTCTTGGACGTATTTGACCTCGTTGGAGCCTCCCACCTTGACCTTCCGGCTCTGGACGACCTTTTTGATTTCGCGTTCGTGGTCGCCTAGTTCACCGGAGTAGAGCTCATCGAGCATAGAGTCTCGGACACCCTGGATGAGCCAGATCTTGTTGGCGCAATTGGCATTCTTCAAACGGTTCAAGATGAAGCCACGGAAAGGGGCCATGCCAACGCCCGCTCCGATGAGCACCATAGGGCCTTCACCACCAAATTGCTTCGACAGCGGGTTCGCCATGAGTCCGCGGAACATGGGGATGCGCAGATCGAGGATGCTGCGGGGATCGACGCCTTCATTCTCGGCTGTGATGAAGGCGTGTGCCATGCGCTCCATGAAGCCACTGCCGACACCTGTGCGCGTGGCACCCTCAGCATGCCAATCGGGTGTCTCGTGGATTGTAACGGCCATCTCGATGAGACGGCGTGTACCGGGAAGGCCGGGGCGAGCAGACGAGATGTGGGGATCGTTCGAGAGGGAGTAGAATCGTGGCATCAGCTGGGTGAGGACGGAGAGGAGGTGCGGTAGCGGCGGCTTCGATGAAGGGAAGGCGCTGAGCATCTGTGAGACTGTGAAGTGAGAAGTGGTACGGAGGTCGCAGAAGGCTGCTTGTCCTTGGGCTGAGCAGAGGTATGTCAGAATCTTCTTCTCGTTGGGGGCTTCGGCATACTCGGCGAGCACGCGAAGGAGGTTCTTGGTGGGCGGGTGCGACTGGATGTCGGCACACCAGGTCAGCAGTTCGCGTCTGGTTGTGACAAGCTCGCGCGCTTCGTCTTCGCCCCAGATGGTCGGCCATCTTCCAGTCTGCGTCTTGAGTGTGACTGGCTTGTCGCGGACAAACTTGGGGATGCAGAGGAGATCGAACAGCTCATCGACCATTTCCTGCGAGTTGGGAGGGCAGATGCCGACGGCACCACCAACCTTGAAGTCGACGCCTCCCTCGTCGGGGTAGTCGGTAACGTCGATGTCGAAGTGGATGGTTCTCTTCTCAGCGCCCGGCTTGGTCAACTCGCGTGCGTGGTAGAGCGGCGCCGAGTAGACCTCGTAGGGCGGGTGTGGCTGAACGTACTTGGGCGGCGTCTTGTGCACCTGCGAGACGTACTTGGTGTCCTTGGACGGCAGAGGCTCGAAGGACATGTTGGCGGGAGGGAGCGGAATTGTGTCGGTGAGCTCGCTGTCGAGGGCGAGCGGGCCCAGCTGGAGATTGAGGCTCCGGAAGGCATGGTTGTCGGGGACGACGACGGGTATGAAGTTGGGCGACGATGCGTCCGGGGCCAGTGTCTTGAGCAGACAGCATCCTCCGCCGCAGCACTGGCTGATGAGCTTGGTGGCCGTCTCACCCTCGCCCAGTATCCGTCTGATGTCGTTTGGGTTGTCCGAAATGAGCGTGGTAGATGCGCGGCGAGGACGCGTCTGCCCAGAGAAATTGACAGCCGAGGTAGGCAGTTCCTGTAGTTTATCGACTACTTCCTCAACGCCCGGATCGGGCTCCGTCATGGGCGTCATGGGCGCCTCAGACTCATCGCTGCTGGTGGTCCATAGTGTGGACTCGCCTGAAGATTTGGGGGAGGTCTGCTCCGGCTGCGACTGTGCCGGCGAGGGCCGGAGTGAGAGGTGTGGGATATCCTTTGGCTCGGCAGGAATTGGGTCGTCAGGGTGGGAAGTCGACGTGGTAGGGATGGGGCTGGGCATGGTGGCTGTCGAGGTTGCCATGTGCCTGCGTGGAGTGAGGTGAAGGAGCGATGGGCGTGCTGCCGGGGACGCGACAAAGGGGACTGCTAGCGCGGACCATGATTAGCAAGAGCTGACTTGGTATGGCCGTAGGGAATTCAATGCAACAGCAAGGCGCGGTGCAGGTGTGCATGGCGCGCTTGCTTGTTGAACCGCGGACGACGGAGATGTGCGACCGCAGAGCATGTGGGGGATGGTGGTGGTTATCTGATGCTTGGATGCAACCGAATTTCTTATCAGATCGTGGCATCACTCACCTCGACTGGCTGGCAAACGAACACGACCGAGTGGCAGCCGCGTGCGAATTCCCGAGATCGGTGACACGATGGACAGTGACTGTGAATAGATTCGTATTGGGCGGATTCTAGCCGTGGCAGAGGGTGTGGGCATGAGGTGAGGCCTGGTGGTGATGGACAAATGTTCGACAGAGGCCGCGCCCGGACGCTTTTCCTACTGCCGATCAACGACGCCTTCAAGGCTGAGATGAGCATCCCGAACGCCCACTTCTGCCGAATGACGCTTGTCAGCGCCCCATCGCCGAAACCGCTCGTATTCCCACTTGTCATGTCCTACTTTATCCGACATAGACCTAGATCAAATCATCTTGCGACTATCTTGGCTGCGCCCACGGCATCAGCCCCATCTCCTGATCATGGTACTCGCCGAACGCGTTATATTACACCACCAGCCTTCACCGCAATTACTATGAGCTGAAGTGCACGCCTTCTCGGCACATAGTCGCGCACACTCTGTAACATGCCATTGTCACGCCGCCCGGTCCTCGGTCTCTCGGCGGTTATCGCATCTGATAACCAAACTTCGGCTCAGAGCCCGACCCCGCGAGCTACCTATCGTGACTCCGGCCGCTGTTCCTCTCTGAAGACACTAATCCTGCCATGTTTCCCCTCATCTTGAGCGCATCCAGTGCCTTCGCGAAAATGTCGCGATCGGGGCATTGCAGCGCTATTACGTCGTTGCAACGCCACACGAAAACCTACCGCACCAAGACTTGCGTTCGCCCAATGTCAGGATATGCCTGATACTTACACCCGTATTCTAATCTAGACTGCCTCTAAACATGTCATTCTACGCCACGGCAAGGCTGACAGACCATCACCCACCACCGCGAACGCGCGCAGGGTCCGCGTCACTATCGTGTTCCGCCATGGTGGAAGAACGTTGAAAACGCTCTCTTAGCGGCCCCACACGCCTCGAGTCTCAATTGCAGATCTGTGATGCAACTGTCACGACCCTGAATTCTGGCACTGTTCCATTCGTCACTCTGATCTGGAGGTTTGTGAGATCACTGAGAACCCTTCTTACCGCTTGTAGTAATACGTGACTAACTCAGCTGCATTATGACGAAAACCCATACACCACCCGGAAAGCAAAGTCGCGATGGAACATCACGGTGAGTTCATGATCGATTCACACTGGGCAGCATATGTCTATTCGATACCGATGAGTGGAACTAACAATCGCGCTGCTTGTCCAGCAGCCTGTCCGAACTTCTCCCCCACTTTCCGAACTTGCGATTTTCCAAGATCTGGTTTGGGATACGGATGAGGGTCAGCTGGCGATGCGATATGCTTCATTAATTACCCACCTCAGTCCGAGTACAAAGCCAACTGTGTAAAAGATACAATGATTCGATCCCTGATCTTGATCATACGAATAAAAAACGAGGACCCTCACTTACGGTCGTACATGGCTGTACTTGGCACATCGTGCGCTGCAGAGAAAACAATCTAAGGCTTGGCAGATTCTTCCAGGGTTCATTGCAGCGTTGAGCACGACTCAAAAAGAACAGCGAACTTCGGGTGGAATGAGCTTTCCGTAACGACTGGTTGTGGTCCTGCAACGACCGTGGTCGGGGGTTGATGCTTGCGCTATGCGTGCGCTGATTGCGTTTAGCTACCGAACTATTAGGTCAAGCAGTTTGTGTGTGCACCCACACCCACTCGTTCGAAAAGTGTGCATAGCCATCAAGTTCTGGATCAGATCCATGGTGAATTGCGATCACCAATATCCAAGCAGCCCGTCTTTAGGCAACCTACTCTCAGTACACCAACCACTTCCTTCGTCCACACTCCTGAGTCACCCATTAAGTACTTCGCGCAAGACCGTTCTCATTTCCAAGACGCGGTACGACTGCATTGGTTAATCTGCTATGACGATGACCGATGAGCGATGCAAGGAGATCTACACAGAGCTACGAGATCTGTCGAGGACTGGCTACAAGAACCCAGACGGCAGCCCGCGCCTACATAGAGACCCTTCAATCGAAACCAAGGTCCAAGCGCGCATGGAGGTTTTGCTCCCAAATCATGTAAGGATATCCTCGTACAAACTGGTTATGATGAATACGCTGACTTTGTACGCTATGATGCAGGACAGCCTAGAGAAGTACAAAGCCTGGTGTCGTGAGAGGACCAAGCTCAGTCGACAGCTTCCAGAGCCTGCAAGCGCCGACGAGATCATCAAGGCCATAGGAGAAGTGGACTTACTCGACCCAATTTCACGCGGAAACCTATGCGACCTACTCGGGACCGACTTGTACTCTCATATCGACATTGGAACGTATGGCAAGTACCACTACTGTCTGAGGTCAGACCTATTCCAGTTGAGGCCGGAAGATCACGACATTGATTGGAACGACGAACGCGAGCCGATGCCTAGTTGTATCCTTGGTATCAACCTGTCGAAGACAGTTCCGTGGACGGGAGACAGACGTAAGGAGCACAGCTCGGACGAGTCTGGTAGCAGCAACATCTCCACTGGTAACGATGGCACCGGGTTCGTATTCACGCAACTAGGCAGAGTGTGCTACCTCGATGACTCCAGAAGGCAGAAGTACCACGACGACGGCAAGTTCCCCATACAGATGCCGTGGTTGGACTCCGGCTTCGTTCTCGTTGTAGTAGTCCGAGACGACGGAAGTGCGGGAGCCCCGTGGCTGCTATTCAACTTCATGCCAGTACACGAACTGGAGGGCTCCAGGTTCCGCATCCCGCAGACTGACGATGAGTGGGGGACGCTTCCAGGCTCTGGTCACCAGTACGTTGCCTTACAGATTGGAGATCGAATTAGCGAGCTCCGATTTGACAAGCAATGGGTCATGACGAGCCGGTTTGGTGGAGACTACAGTCCCCAGCTTGTCGCCGTGGTAAATACGTCACCTACCTCGAGAGGACAGCTCGTGCGACAAAAGATCTTTGAGAATAGTCGTTGAGGTGGCTAGAGGGTGCAGACTGAAGGACGATTGAGTTGCACTTCAAGGTGGGGGCGGTGAAACGGCGAACGGGGATATCTGCATGCCGGACCACCCGCCACATTTCCGAGTTTCCAAGGTCTAGTTGGGGATGCGCAGGATGCACGCCAACTGTTGGAGTCCACCGTGGTCAAATAATCATTGCATTCAAGTTCGATGCAGTAGCAGTCGTACCAGGTCCAGACGTTTTGGAAAGCCGTGGGTCTGATCTTTAGAATGAGGCTATTACATGGGTAGGTATCACTACGCGAAACATACACCAGCTGGACAGGCTAAGTCCACCTTCACGAGCATGGAATCGCAGTACAAACACATTGAGTGTAACTATTTGAAGCGAAAAAACTGATGTCTTTTTCAATCTGGAAAGGGTTCAGAGTTTGGATCATAGACGATGTGACTCACTGATGGTACCATGGTTCACCCGCAGAGCTCAAAGTTGCCTTTCCACACCGCAAGATTGAAATTGACCTCTCTCTCCCTCTTTCCTTCTCACTCAAAATTAAACAAACAAACGAGAAGATACCATGTCATCCCTAACCGACGCCGATTGCGAGAAGATCTTCGCAGAACTTATGGCCAGCGCCATGTCGCAAGCTGGCTATCCCAGCCCCAACGACGACAGCTCTTCCCACCAGCCCCGAGACCTGGAACAACTCCTTCCCGACATAGCAAGTATAGACAGATATCACGAATGGCGACTCAAGCAAATGAATCAAGAGGCAGAGGAAGCAGAACGCATCCGCCACGACCAACCACGTCCAACCGCCGCCGACCTCATCAAAGCGGTCCAAGAAACCGACTTCCATGATGGAGAATCGCGCGAAACCGTCTATGACATACTGAATTGCATAGACAAGGGCGCGCTCGAATGGGGAATGCATTGCGACTACCACTTCGGCCTAGTACCTGATGGGTATGTCAAACTCATATACGAGGATGAAGACGTGGACTGGGACGATCAACGCGAGTGGCCGGAATTCGGAGATATACTTGGCATCAATATGTGGAAGAGAGCATCCGATACCAAGACCGCAGGAGCCCAGCCCAACGACATCGAACCGGACCAATCTGGACTCACGAATGAGTCCAGAGGGAACGACGCCACGGGCTTTGTGTTTATGCAGCTGGGCCGGGTGTTCTGTCTTAAAGACTGTGACTTGGAAAGTAACAAACAAAGGGCTACAAGAAACGAATGGCAGGTATCCTGGTCTGACTCTAACTTCGTCCTCGTCGTAGCTATCGAGGAGAACGGAAGAGCAGGCGCGCCGTGGTTGGTGTGTAATTTCAATCCAGAAAATGATATTGAAGGCGATCGCACCAAGATCCCGCAATCAAAACGGTTTTGGGGTGATACTTTAGGAGACTATATTCAGTACAAAGCTCTCAAGATTGCCGACGATATTGGGGAGCTCAGACGAGGGAAGGCATGGGATGTTACGGTGAAGTTTGGCAGCGAGTCTGACATACAAATCGTACCCGCCGTCTTTGATGGAGAGGGGAAAGAGAAAAGGCTCTTGCGACACAAGGTTCGCAAGGAAGAGCTTACAGACTGGGTTGAGGTCTAACCTCCCAGGCGATATTTATACATGCACGTACCCAGGCTCACGATCTCCTACACCAACGAACAACATATAAGCTTTCAGCCTCATGGAATACGCTTATCATTAAGACTACACAGCCTTCCCATCTAATACTTCCCACTCTCCTTAACCAACCCATTCTTCTCATTCTCCGCCTTAGGCTTCAACGCCCACTCAGGCGCCTCATCAATCTCATCCTCCTCAGCCTTATCCCCCTCCTCCTTAGTCTTATGCACACTACTCGGCAGATGCTCCGCAGGCGCATACACCGTAATCAACTCGAGCGGCTGATCCCCCTTGGTAACAAACTGATGCTGTGTCCCAGCCGGCACAACAACAACATCACCGGCTTTAACCTCCTGGTCCTTGCCATTCACCGTCGCCAGCCCTTTACCGGATGTGAAAAGCAGGATCTGGTCGACAAGATGGACTTCATCCCCGATCTCGCCGTTCACGGGGACTTCCATGGCGACGATTTGGGAGTAGAGGCCTGTGTGTAGGACGGTGCGGAAGTCGCCGAAACTGCGCTTCTCGCTCATCAGACCGGGGAAATGCACCATTTCATGTTTGGGCGGCGCGTTCTCGCGGTTTCCGACTTTCTTGAGAGCTTCCATTTTGGCGGCGTAGAGGCGCGGGGTGGTTGTGCTGAAGGATTTGGTGATGGGGACTGAGGTTCTCTTTGTGAATGTGGATGTGGAGAGGCGAAGGAGACGGGATGTGGTATTGAGCATTAGGGAGGACCTGGTTGAGATGGATGGGTTTTGGGGTCGAGTGACATGGGGATTATATGGCACGTTGCTTTTGCATCACGGTATACATCGCGTCAGGGCGCGTTAGGTGTGGAGGGTCTAGACTGCGTGGTATGCATGACGTCACCATCGCGTTACCTCACGATGTACGGGGAGATTGCCTGTTCGGTACGCTAGTGTGTCCAGTAGAGCCTTGATTGGTAGCCTCTCATGTATCAGGTTGTGGTGCGTGCCATGAGTGGTGTCGTACCTGATTATGTGATGACATGGCGATGCAGGGTGCGATCAGGGTGCTGAAGGAGCTAGCGGAGCGTCCCGACATGTCTTGCAGAGTACAGAGTGATATTGAGAGGAGAATGATTATTTGATTGTAGCTGCAAACCTCACATGCTTGGGTTATCAGAACGTGAGCTATATCCTAGGCTATGGCAATATAAGAGCGTGATCGTAGAAGTTCTCGTTTTGATCAAATAGTACCACTCAAATAGCGCCATGCAAGAGCGACACCACTCTCTGGACTCCCTGCGGAGCGCATACTGCTTTTGGGATGCGTGTTTGGGCCCAAGCGTGCAGCAACCCTGGTGCTGTGTGGAGGTTCATTGTTGGTGGTGGGCTTGCCCACCGTTGCTTCCATGAAGAAGCAGGAGAGTCGCGCAAAATCGCCACGACTGCCATTGAATATGATACAGATAAAGATGCAGCTTCACTAGACACGGTTGCGGCCAGCAGCTTCTTCCTTCTCCTCATCAAGCTCTCGCTCGATTTCCTCTTCTTCCGTAGGCTTTGGGGCCTTGACGTCCTTAGCAGGCACGTCACCACCGCTCATCTGCCATTCCATGAGCTTGTTGAATGCGCCCTCTGGGTTCGAGCTGAGCTGTTCGTAGGTGCCTTCCTCGGCTACCCTACCTTCAGAGTCGATGCAGATAATACGGTCGGATCGTTTGATCGTTGATAGACGATGGGCGATGCTAATAGTTGTGTTGTTTTCTTGGAGAAGCTTGTTTAGCGCTTGGTTCACAAGAGTTTCAGACTCGGCGTCCAGAGCACTTGTGGCTTCGTCGAGGATAAGGATGTCGGGCTTCTTGATGAGTGCTCGTGCGATGGCAATACGTTGCTTCTGGCCTCCGGAGAGTTGAGTACCTCTGGCGCCAGCATGTGTTTCGAGGCCGTCGGGCTGTACTTGTTAGCAGAGCTCTCATATCATGGGGGTTGTACGTACGAAATCGCTGATGAACTGGCAGTTGGCCTTGCGGGCAGCAGCCACGATCTCAGCACGTGTAGCGTTGGGTACACCATATGCGATGTTCTCTGCGATTGTGCCAGAGAAGAGTACAGGCTCTTGGCCGACGTAACCAATCTTCCTTCTCAACTGCTTCGCGTTCAGGGTGGTGATGTCTCGGCCGTCGATGGTTACGGTTCCAGAATTGGGGACGTAGAAACGTAGAAGGAGACTGGCGACTGTAGACTTGCCAGCTCCACTGGGTGCAACGATAGCCACATTGGTACCCTGCTCAATCCTGAAGCTGAGGTCCTTGAAGATGGTAACCGCTGGTCTGGTCGGGTAGCTGAAGTTGACGTTCTTGAATTCGATGGGACCACGCGCCGACTTGACTGGTAGACCCTTGGTAGGGGATATTGTTGGGTTGCGATCCTGGAGTTCGAAGAGACGACTGGCAGCTCCAACGCCCTTCATCATCTCCCCGTAGAAGCCGGAAAGACCAACCATGCTAGAACCAGCATAGACGGTGTACATCAAGAACGAGGAAAGCTCACCGATGGAGATGACGCCGTTCTTGACCATGTTACTACCAACATACAGGATGGAGATGATGGTCAGGTTGCCCATTAGTCCAGTACTTCCGTAAAAGCTCGCGGCAACCACGGCTTCCTTCTTTCCTAGAGCGAATATCCTCTTAATCTGCCGGTTGTATCGCGATGCTTCTTGAACCTCTCCAGCGAAGGCTTGACTTGTTCTGACGTTCCCTAATCGCTCTTCGGCGATCTTGGTCAATGTTCCCAAGTTCTTCTGGATTTTACGACTGAGGTTTCGTAGCGATCGACCGGAGAAAAAGGCGACGAGGGCGACAGGCGGGGCGATCAGGGCGAGAATACCGGTAAGCTTCAGACTGACGAAACCCATCATGGCGAAACCAGCTGCACCGCTAACGAGCGCACGTAGCCCGTCCGACAAGTTTTGTGTGATGCTCTTTCCAACGATGATTGTATCCGAACCGAGACGGGAGATGAGATCTCCAACTCTGTTGGCGTCAAAGAATTCGGCGTTTTGGACGAAGGTCTTGCGGTACAGCTGCGATCGGAGACGTGCGACGATACGCTCTCCGACGATTCGAAGGATGATGATACGCCCAAAGTTGAACGCAGCGCCGGTCGTCAAGACACCTGCCAGCCCGAAGTAGAAGATAGATGGAGACACGCCAAAGAGTAAACCATTGGTGTTCTCAGACGAGGTAGCGGCGTCCAAGATCTTGCCAATTGAGAAGGGTACAGAGAGAGAAATGCCAGAACCAAGGAGCAAGAACAGGAAAGCCCAGGAGAGCACGCCCAGCTCAGGTCGGGCAATTTTGATCAGTCTCCAGATCTCCTTCATGCCACCTGGTGCACCCGAAGAGCCAGACCCGTCCTTGCTGAGTTTGGCGCTCAAATTGACCTGTTTCGCTTGCGCTGCCTTCTCAGATTTTGCAAAGCCTTGTTCCTCGTTCTCGGGCTCGCCATCGTGCTCTTCCAAGTCTACGATGCCCTTTTGTTTGATTTCCTCTTTGTATGATATGCGCTGCTTCGCAGGCTTGGCATTGCTCGAGGCTTCCGCTAGTAGTCGCGATGTCGTGAACATGCGAGCTGGTGTGTGTAGGCCATTGTTGCGTGTGGTGCCCGCGGCTGCGAATCGGAGGATTGATGACGGGGCGAAAAGGGACGGCGCGCAGCTGTTGGGTGACGCCTTGGATATTGAAGCTTTCGGTATCGGCGTGGTAGCGAAGAATCTCGAAATGGCGGGTGTTGTCGTCGAGATGCGCGACTGTATGTTTGAAAAGAGGGCTCCGTTGCCTGGGCCGTGCCAGGCCTTTGCGGAGAAAGCCAGCGGGGCGCGCATGGCTGGCGGAGGGTAGACGAGGCGGCTACCGGACGTGAAGATGGAATTGGGGCGTTATTGAGGCATTCGACATGGCCATGGACGTGCGGACGTGGGAGTGGACGACTTCGGACATGTCAATCAAAAGTTCGGCGCCTCGCTGATGACGACAGGACCGCCGCGTCGATCGCTTGCGTGCCGCGGCTCGATCTCCGAGAGTCCCTGAAGCAGGGCACTACCAACTTCACGCCCGCGTTCAAGGGTCTTTGCAATCATCACGTTCTAGATGCCCAGTGTTTGTCTCTATATCTATTGTCTGCATGTTTGTCACTGCACGACGTCATAATCGCGGAATGCGGCAGCTTTGCGCGCTCTAGGTCGTCTCCTTGTTCACCCCCACACCGAATCGACGAGATTTCCACAGAGGAACTTCGATCTCTCGAACCAAGAAGGCGCGAATATGACTCAATAGATAGCTGCTACATAGGGGTGGCCTTACGGCTCATTCGCAGCATGAATGGAAAGTGCGACCGCCTGAGTCATCTCCACTCATACACCAGGCGTCAACGAATGTCTCAGCCCCAACAGCGATGCATCTCAGAGTATGTTTCACGTTTACACATAACTCGTCGATAAGTTACACAGTTGTACGGTAGCATTGTCCGTAGCCATGGCGTCCACACCTGAAACCCAGACACCCATTCGTCTAGACGGCACAACACTCGAAGGCGGAGGCCAACTTCTACGGGTAGCCCTTGGCCTCTCGAGCCTGACCAAAAGTCCAATCCACATCATCAAGATCCGGGGCAAGCGCTCCGGCGGCGGGGGACTTAAAGCCCAGCATTTGACCTGTGTGCAGTGGCTAGGCCAAGCAAGCAATGCGAACATTAACGGTGCAGATCTCAAGAGCAAGGATATCACCTTCGTCCCATCCAGAACCGTCGAAAGATCCAACAGCATACTGACTGCTGGTGACGTGCGGATCAAACAGAGCACCCCCGGAAGTGTCAATCTAGTCCTACAGGCCATCTTACCGTATATCATCTTCTCTGGAGTTCAAACGCCGATACGTATACGCGTCGATGGAGGCACCAACGTTTCCAACTCTCCATCCATCGATTACGTCGTCCAGGTTCTCATACCAACGTTGGAACGCATCGGCATACCACACATCGATGTTCAGATCCATTCGCGGGGCTGGTCACAGGGAAGTGCCACTGTTGGCAGCGTTACGTACACAATTTCGCCTTTGAAAGAAAGGCTATCAGCATTTCAATTACTCGACAGAGGAGAAACTGTCAGTGTAACGGCAACCATCATCGCACCCAAAGATACTGAGCGGCAGTTTCGCAAGGAGCTCGATGTTATGTTTGAGAGACGCCAGTCTCGTTTCTTCGGCTATGCGGGCGACCACGATGATAGGGTTGATATTACCTTCGAGGACTCATACCACGACAAGCGTTACTACCTCCTACTAGTAGCTACCACGTCCACCGGTATGAAGCTTGGCCGTGACTGGCTGTATGATCGGGGGTTCCGTGCTGGGAAGCTCGAACAGATCATTCCTACCATCGTGAAGAAGATTTCCGACGATTTGTTGGCGGAGATTGAGCATGGTGGCTGCGTGGATGAGTACCTACGCGACCAGTTGGTAGTGTTCCAGGCACTCGCTAAGGGAAGGAGTCAAGTGTATGGGGGAAAGAGCGACGGCGAATCGGTGAAGCCGAGTCTACATGCCAAGACTGCGCAGTGGGTAGCAAAGGAGATGCTTTGTGTGGAGTTTGATGACGAAGGTGGGTGTGAAGGCATTGGGTTCTTGCCAGGTGATATGAGTCAGTATTATAGTGCAGACCATGGTCTTGCGAAGCATCTGGATAGCATGAGCATCTCTTCATGAAAGCACGAACAGTTACTATCAAAATGTCTCTGTTAATCCCTATCCGTTCTACAACGCATACCTAAAATGCTTCGCCTGCTTATCCGTCAAATCGCTGAATCCATCCCGAATGGCCTGATCATCTTCGCCCTGACCATACTTCCTATCTCTCCTTTTGTTCTCCCAACCCATCCACAAGGCCAGCACACCCCCAATTACCACCATTGCGCAATAACAAACAATGAGCCCCGTCAACGCTGAGAAGTACCTCGGCGCCTCCCTCGCGAAGAAGATGTTCGCTCCTGCAATATTGCCCGCCGCGTAGAAAACGAACCACATGCCGTTCGCGGTGCTACGCTTAGTGTGACCCGCGATGTTTGTCGTAAGCAGATTCCAGGAGAGAATGACCGGAGCACCGATGATGTACTGCAGCCAAGTGCATCCAACAAGACTCCAGCGTTCCGATAGCGGCGTGAGTCGAATACCCAACAACCCAGCCAGCGGTGGCAAACAAACCAGAGCCAGGATAAGACACCTTGTATCCCTGAAGTAACCCGCTGCAAGTCCACATAGCGGCACAACAACGAACTCAATAGCCCCAGTCGGAAGCTGAAGCAGCGTAGCGTAGATGCCACTAAACCCGAACCCCCTTATAAGGCTCGACGAAAAGTTCGACACACCGCCATTGATAACTCCACAGCACAGCCCAATCAAACTAATACAAAGCACCTTGAAATCCAGCACGGCCTCCAGCGCCTGATGTTTCTGAAACTGCTTCGTCTTGACACCAATCATATTGCTCGCAATACGGTCAATCGCTACGATGCGCTGTTTATGATTCAGGAACTTGGCGGTGGAAGGACTATCAGGCATGACCCAGAGGAACACCCACGCCCAGACGAAGTTCAACAGGCCGATGACGAGGAAGATGAGTTGCCACGTTTTGATATGGGCGGAATGCGCGTGACCGAGGCCGTAGCCGAGGAGCGCACCGACCATCGTTGCCATGCCGTTGAAAGCGAGGAATACGCACATGCGAACGGGTTGTTCGTCGCGGCGGTAGAACATACTGACTATGTTCATGATGGCGGGACTGATACTGGCTTCGAACATGCCGAGGAAGAAGCGGAGGGCTAGCATGCCGGAGTAGTTTTTCGCTGCGACGTGGCAACAGAGGAGGATGGACCAGAGGAGAATCATTAGGCCGGTGTATTTCGAGACTGGAAGCCGCTGGATGAGGTAGTTTGCGGGGAGTGCCCAGAAGAGGTAGCCGAAGTTGAAGATGGCGGCGACCCAGCCGTACCGGTCGCCTTGGAGACCCAGGTCGGGGGTTAGGGTGTAGGCGTTTGCGTAGTTTAGGGAGAGTTTGTCTAGGAATTGGATCATGTATGTTATGCAGATCTGGATCTCTTAGCTATGCTGTCTCGTAGTTGATGACATGAGTTGAGAAGAACGTACCATCGGCATGATGACCCAATCGATCTTTCTCAAGACGACTTTGCGTTCTGCTTCCAGCTCTTCTCTTGAGTATTGTTGGACTTCGAGATACAGATCTGCACCGATATCGCGCATCTGCTTCTCAGCAGCAAGTTGCCCCTCATCGATGCTAGCCTCTCGCGCTGGCGAGATCTCCTCTTTCTCTCCCATGTTGAATCTGTACAGCTGCTGAACCGGCTGTTGGTGCTTGAAGTCCGGATGCAACTATTGACCTGAGATGTGTAGAGGCGAGATAACCGAAGACCCTGGCAACGACTTCTCACAGGCGACAGTAATGTTCGGGGATACAACACAGACAACGAGGTCATGACATCTGTACTTAAGTGCAGCAGTTGAGGCCTCCCACCCTTGGCAACGGCCGTGAACGCAGTTATCGGCTATCTTGCCAAGGCAGTCTTATCGTTGTGTTGAGCATTGCATATCGCTACCTAGGCCGGCCGTAGCATATGCAGGTGGATGATGTTGCTGCACGCCATTGGTGTTGTTGATCCTTCGGCATGTCGAATCGGATAATTCCGCGGGTACAGTTACCCTGGTTGGAGTAGCCTGAGATAGCGCGCGAATGTAATGTCAACTCCAATGCTGCGATTACGATATGGGCTCGCAGCGCTTCTGCTCACCTGTTCCATACATGTCATTGTTAAGAATCGGGATTGCAACAGCTTGTCCAAAGTGTCCAAAGTGGTAAATGCTACTTGTCTCGTATTTGCTACTATGGGGGTGCTGGAATGTTGCATCTGGCCATAGGTGTGGCAAGGAGCAGCGCCGGTCATGCGAAATCCTATTTCCACAGACCGTACGGGCCGGATGTGAACTTCCAGAGCTTGACTGTTCCATCCTCACTGCCTGTCGCGTAGAGCTTTCCGTCAGGCGAGAAGCTTGCCGACCAGATAGGTCCGTGATGGCCCTTGTTGGTCTCGAGCTCCTTCTCCTCGTTGAAGTCCCAGACCCTGACCCAGGTATCATTCTGGTTGCTACCACCAGTAACAAACTTCCGCTCCCCGTTGTGCAGAGCCACGCTGGCAATCTCGTATGGTGTCTTGATGCTTTTGATGAGCGATCCGGGCGACTGGCTGTTGAAGAAGTAGGCACTGTTTCCAGCAGCTACGCTCAGAATGCCCTCCGAGGAGGTGTTATCCAACTCGCAAGAGCCAACAGTGCCTTCGACGGCGTGCTCGCCGATTGTAGACTCTTGGCGTAAGTCCCACCACCGCACCTTCTTGTCTTCGGCGGCTGTGATTATGACGTTCGGGTCCGATGTCCACACGATCGACTTGATGGTTCCGGTGTGGACACCTGCGCCAATCTCGAAGCTCGTCGCGTCGCTACGTGAAAGGTCGTATATGCGCAACTTCTTCTCCATGCCTCCTGTCGCGAGGATCTGAGGGTGGGGCTGATTGGGGAACGCGACGGCGCGTACGATGTGGTTGTGCGAGAGTGTGTGTAGGGCTTCACCGGTGTGCGTGTCCCAGACCTTACTGTGGAGTATTAGTACTCGCTTCCCTCGCGGTAATCGGAAGCACTTACGCAGAGAAATCCGCAGAGGCCGTCGCTGCCAGTGAGGCATCCGAGGAGAGTCTCGCTTGCCAGACGGCGCCCTTGTGGCCCAGGAAGGTGCCAATCCAGTCACCCGTCACTCCGTCGCGGAGCATGGGGTTGTTATCCTTGCATGCTGATATAATGTAATATTGGTCCTCGTCGACCAAAGACGAGAAGTGAATATGCGGCACAGGTCTCGAGTGGCCGTGGCAGGTGAGGGGCACGACCTTGGTTGTCTCGGGCATGGTGGGCAGGTAAGGAGGGTGTGTAGTTTCGACGTAAAGAGCGAGTGCGATAACAAGTCGAGTGAGCTGAGCAGCTGCAGTCTGGAGCGGTGAGGCGTGATTGCGCGAGGGCGTGTGTTCTAGGTATGGCTGGTCGCAGACGGTTCCGAGCTAAGTAGGAGCCACGCGGAGTTTCTCTAACAGTTCAGAAAGACAGAAAAGAGAGCGAGAGATGCAAAATGGTCGTCAATGGGTCGTAACGTCGTTAAAGTGGCAGGCTGGTGGAATCGCAAGTTCATGGACAGCAATTCGAGGGGGAAACATTGGAAAGTTGAAACCTAGCTCAGGGTGGCCTGTCGGTAGTGCCGGACATCTCCGCTGCCGAGGCAAGACCGCGCTACCACTCTTCTAGCTACGCAAGAATACCCAGGTATTATCATTTGCTTTCTTGTCCTTCCTAACTGAATTTGTCTTCCTCGTAAGACAGCATTTCTGGCCGCCAGTCTAGTTGGTAACCACCACAACGAGGACAGTGACCCTTCCAATCATTTTCCTTCAGCTCGGCCATCAACACAATCTCCTCACATTCTGGACATCTTCTGCTAGCCGCGATACACAGTGCCTCCGTCACGATACCGCCATCCTGATGTAAGACTCCAGTCTTTGCCATCAAATGGAGAAAGATGTCCCGTCCAAATTCTGCCACTTCCCGACAGGCCGACGCTATGAGTGGCTGGCGACCGATGCGGTTGACCATATATGTGGATCGCTGGTCGCCTGCAAATCCTAGCAACACATCTACCAATGGATGACTAGGATGATGTTCCGAACCAACAATATCATAGACGTCTCTGACGAATCCACAGAACTCTCCATGTACAACGGCATCTATAGGGTCTGGGTCGTCTGATCGCACTTGCATCGACCACCAACCAATGCTACATTTGAACACTGAGATGACCCGATCCCGGAACTGAGGAAAGTCGTACTTGTCACCGACGCGGTACAAGCCTAAGCAATCTCGGATGCTACGGGCAGTACGAATAACGTTGTCAACGTCATCCAGACTTGGTATCTTTTGATCGTATGCAAAGTTGAGCATCAAGAGTAGAGCATCGGGATCGTCTTCTTTCAGGCTGATCTCTCTGGCGGAACTTTCCTTCGTGCGTCAGTAAGGGATGCATCTCTATCATCGGAAGATAATCCTACTGCAAACTGTCCAGTGAAAGCTGCCTTGAACCAGTACGACATTGCGCTTAGCACTACTTTGTGCGCTTCGAAGGTCCGCTCTCCTGAGACTCCATATCGAATCGTGATGTCGGATAAGATCTTTGAATTTGAGTAGCTGGAACCAATATTGTCAGTGTGCCTTTCTTCAATGTAGTTTACGACTTACCTCTCGAAACCGAGCTTCTGTCGCTTGTGTGGGTTGCTGGGGGACTCCATTTCGACTGTGTTGAAATAGAGTTATTGTCGTTAAGGAAGAAAGGAATGTTGGACATGAGAGAAGGACCGTTGTAAGCAGATTGCGTGCAAACAAGTAGCAGCCGAACCCAAGAGCCTCTCACTTGTCATGGAGCTAAGACTGGGTAATAATTTCTCTTACCCAAGCCAGATGGTGAAGACTTCGGATAGGTCTCAGCTCCATTTCATGCACTTTGGTACATACAGATCACTAATTACATCAGGTGTGTGATAATCACTGAGACAATACGAACAAAAAACTACAAAGGGACGGCAACGTGATCATAGTTCAACACA